TCGAATATCCAAATCTACAAACAATATAATAACAAACATTAGTAATTGTTAAATAATTAATTATAATTTTGAAAACATTATATAGAAATTCTTACCTTAAAGGCCCAAACAAAGTCTGACAAAGTGTATTTCGACCCATCGCCCCGCAAACTTTTGCGGTCATCAAAGGCAGACGACAACTTAGTCCAGGTAGCTTTCCATATATACGAACCCCACGGAAACAGATTCCATGCATTTAGGTCCTCTACCAATAATATTAGCTCCTGAGGAATAGGTTGTCTGGCCTCTCTGCCTAAAAAGCCGGCATACAAAAGTAGTAGAAGGCATACTCGGACAACATCGACGTCATTCATCCGAGAAAAACCATCTTTCTTATTAAACAATTTATTCATGTCGTCGACGTGTAAGTTCGGCTTCTCTATTGACTCATCAGGAAAAACCCTGGATAACCATGATGGGCGGGTGATATGACGAGTGTACCGGCCTACATCATCGTGTCCGAATCGTAGACCAGTGATTAAGCAGAACTCCTTCCGCCCAAAACAAGTATACGCCGGTGGAAAATGAAACCATATCTCTTCCTCACCACGTTGTATACTGTCGGGTAGATCACTAGTCATGGTCTGAAGCCACAAATGAGTCAAACTAGCATCTCCACCCGGATGCTGTACTCTCAGCCATGGCCCGAAGCAGGCTTCTTCAAACAATTTTCTTTGTGCAGTTGAAAGCTTCGAAGCAATTGTAGTGGCTAGGCTAACTTTATTCCTTAATGTCAATGAAGCCGAAAAAAATTTCTACAAAAAAAAATAAACATACCAAGTTAGATATACCAAAAATTACACTGTTAAGATATACCAAAAACAAAACAATAAACATAAATAGTAGTTTATTCTTGAAACTAAAATTTGCAACACTGTTTTTGTCTTTTGGTTGAAATGAAAATCGCAACGAGATAATGAGAATCGCAATGCGGAAATGACTATCGCAACGAGAGAATCGCAACGCGAAATGACTATCGCGACCAGACAATCGCAACGCGAAATGAAAATCGCAACCGCGAAATAAAAATCGCAACGCGAAATAAAAATCGCAACGCGAAATAAAAATCGCAACGCGAAACGAAAATCGCAATGCGATTTTGGTTTCGTGTTGCGATTTTTATTTCGCGTTGCGATTATCTCGTTGCGATAGTTATTTCCGCGTTGCGATTTTCATTCTCGAAACTATTCTTCTTCTGCATTACTTCAACCAAAAGACAAAGCAAAGACAAATACTAACTTCACAGGCTAAACAGTTTAGCAGTATTGGCAGCAATCGAATGAATTTAATAAGAAATCTAAGTGAAATGGTTAATCTATTATTGAAATTACCAGTAAACTTATCATCAATCTCAATATGAAAAACCTAAAATAATGCAAAAATTTCAAAATAAAAATAAAAAAACTAATCCTCGGAGGTTGATTTTCCATTTCTGAATGATTGTGAGGGATTTTTGACTGTGAATGGTTGTGAGGGATTTCGCCGGTGATGAGGACGGAAATCTTCGGAGATGGGGACGGATTTCACCGTAGAGAGTGAGAGATGGAGATTGGGCTGAGTGTTGTGTTTTTGGGTTTGAGGTTATGAGTTGCGATTACTGTGGACGGTTCATTTTCCGATTTATTAAGAAAAAATTCGTGTTTGGAATTTGAAAAAAAAAAATACGCGTTAATACGAATGGCGCTATGTAAATCGCGTTGCGAAAGTCAGTATCTCGTTGCGATTTTGTATTATCGCAATGCGATAGTAAGTATCGCATTGCGATTTTCCCAATTCGCGTTGCGATTTACTTATTCGCATTGCAATTTTCCCAATTCGCGTTGCGATTTACTTATTCGCATTGCGAATTGGGAAAATCGCAACGATACTGTAGACCATCGCAACGCGATTTTCAACTATCGCATTGCGAAAATGAAACGCGAATTTGCGATAATGGAGATCGCGTTGCGAATTAGCGATCGTATTGCGATTTTGTTGGTCATTTTGGCAAATCCGAAAAAAGTTGGTTAAAATCGTATATTATATGGGATTTTTGGTCACTGAGGTTATTTTCTCTTAAAAAAATCCAAAGTTAGTGATGAGAGAGCGGTGCACGTAGGCGTGGAAAGTCATAATATAAAAATTTTTTTGAAACAAATATTTAAGTTTTATTTTTAAAATATTCTTTTATAAAAATAAATATATAATATTTCATTTACCAACAATCATTAGGTCTAGTGAGATGAAATATTAAATTTCTTAAATAAGGTCAAAGATTCGTTTCATCTGACATTTGAGAATGAAGCAAACTGAATCAGAAGAATCACTTTCATATTAGGCCTCCACAAAATATAATCCGAATTATTCGATCAATAGATTGAATAACAATGTTTAATTTAATATATATATATATATATATATATATATATATAATGTTTCATTTTATTATCATTTTAAATTTAATTATTAATATTTATAAAAAAAACTCAATAAATGCGTAAAACGTAACATAATTTTTGAAAATTTTAATTTTTTTAATAAAATAATTAATTTCTATTTTATAAAATGATAACAAAGCGACTAATAAATTTGGAATAAAAAAATGTATTGAGAGACTGATTTCTTTGGTGGTGTAAATACTAATTGGGCAACAAAGAATGGGACAAAATCTCCAAAATTTAATGGTTGGTTTGCAGATATCTAATATCTTCTTGTTGATATTCGAATCCTATGGAGAACGTCGTTGGCTGCATCTTCTTTTACCGTCTCCTTATCTGACATCAGTCTAAGCTGCACAGATGGTTCCGATGGCATCGACTTTTGACCATGACCAAAAGCAAATATGGGCAGTATAGTTTATAAGAAACAATGAACCAAGCAATTTTGGATATCTCAACTTAATTTGCGGCTAACTACACCAATAATATGATAGTGGCGGTGAGCTGCAACATAGTCAAACTGGTTTCCTTATTATCATAATTTTTAGCAAACGATGAATGAAAATTCAATAAAAATGTTTCCTTTTCAAGGAGGTTTTTTTTTAGCAGTGCTTCCATATATTATAGATTCAATCCCTTGTAACAACATTCGCGTATATTCATTCTAAATCATCCAGGAAAATTCAGTATTTTATTGTCCATAGTTTCATGTCTCATATGTTTGTTTTATTCTAAAGCCTGAAAATAATGTCGGAACAAATTTTCCTTTATAGCTGGGAGCAATTTAAATTCAATTCAGCTGAGTTTGGCTACTTCGTTCATACATTAACATCTACAAAGCAATAATGATCTCATCAAAGTGACATGCCCGAAGAAGATCTTACTATCATCCAAATTAGTTTCTCATCTACCAAAACTTCGGAGAAAAAAATGAACCTTTTAACAATCCCTTATGAGCCATAAAGTCGGGTTCTTCAACATGTCTTCTTTCTCACAACAGGCTTCCGCACTTCTTTCTTTGCAGTTGTCATAAAACCCGGCGTTGGTATCCCCGTTGCAGCCTGGTATAAGTCCTTGAGTCTTTTCAAGTAGACGGTAGAACATTATCAAAGATTATCCGTACAAACATGAAATCTTAAAGCATGTAAGGGGGATGAATGGGCTCAGAATAAAAAAAGACATAACTATATTCAAGTTACCTAGGAATGCTGAGAAAGAGAATGATCACTGAAACTCCTACAATTAAAGGGAATACTGGTGCAGGAGTTAGTTCCTGTAGGTATGCCCGACAAGTCAGAAATTAACAGAACTGTTCGACAATAACTTAGGGGCTATTTGTTTGGCTCTGAATAGAATCATTCAACACTGAATGCTAAATTCAGAGTCATTATTAAACAGCATGTCACATTTAAAGTTAATTCATACAGAGCCTCTGAATCATTCAGCATTTGAATCATTCCGCGCTTAATCATTCTGAAGTAAACAAACAGCTCCTTAATAAGTATATATAGTTTAGCATCATTTTTCACAATATTAGTTTAGGTCACACTATTTTGTTATACATAGTTGCATAATCGTTTGAAAAAAGAAAAAACATGCACTATTTTAACAGAGTTAAACAAATCTGTTTGACATGATACTCCTCCAAACTATATTTCAGGGGACCAACATGAACTTGAGATTTCTTCTGTAGGTCAACCTCAATGATATCCGACTCAAATTTGTAAGTGTTGGAATGCAGATTAGATTTGAGCTGAACAGTATGCTTTCCCCTGGGTAAGTCCTTCACCTGGAAGAAGTTTGATAATGGTAGTGGGAAGACAGACTCTATTTTATACGTGTCACCAGCTGATTTAATTTCTACCAACAAATGAGAAGGTAGTTCACCAGTCCTATTCACTTCAACATGGCCGGTTACGATTGTCATCTCTGGTTCTTCAAAGACCAAAAAGTCCAGTCCCTTGATATCATTATTCCCAACCTGGCAGCAAGTCAATCAACCACACACATCAGAAGTTTGAAGCTTAGTAGCCCTCGGAATTGTTTTAATTCAACAAAAGCTTCAATAAAAAAATGACATTAACGAATTAAAAGAGCTAAAACACACTGAAGAGTTAAAAACCAAAAGAGGGGGGAAACAAGTTCACAGCAAATAGAACCAACCTTTACAGGTACGGATACAGGAGATGCTCGCTCAATTTTAGCACTACCCAAGCCATTCTTCTTCACAACTTTGATTAAATACAATGAGTCAGGAATTAGTCCTCGCAAACGATAACTCCCAGATGAATCAGTAACTGTATCCTCATAGTACCCTCTTGACTCTGAACGGGCTTCAATGAAGACACCTTCTTTTGGTTGCCCAGTGAGCAAAGTCACCACATCCATTGCACTGAAGAAATTAAACTGCCTTAACCAACATGGAACTTTGATTCTGACACTAAGCTAGACATTTTTAAGATGCCATATACTAATTACTAAGTTTAGCATTGGTGTAGAGAGGATCTTAAAGTTGGAAGTTCATATTGTAAATCGACTAGACAAGCAAGTTGGAAAAAGTGCAGAACTCATTTGAATTATCACATAAAATTTAAATAACTGAAATTTTAAAAAAAATTAATGTAAATAAGTTCCGGGAAAAATATAATAAACTTATCTTGAATAATAATAACATTGAAATATGCACTTAAATGTTTATAATGTCAAATAGACAACTGGAGAGTTAAAGCAAAAGAAAAACCTGTAAGCAACACGTGTAGTGTGGAAAACTACTACTCTTGATTCTAAAAAACCAAGTTCTATTGCCTGTGCTGAAGATGAGAAAGCATACTCCTGAAACAGAGAGAAATCACCGATTAAAGTAATACATTGTTACCTAGTTTAATTTAATTTCATATCATGTGGAGTAATTAAATTGAACAAAACTAGTTTAAAACTCCTTTCTGTTGTTTCCGTCTATAATGTGCATATGGTCATGATCAACTTAGAATCAATCAAAAGCCTAGTTTCCCTTACAGTTTCAACGAACTTTAGAAATTGAACATTCAAATCTGAAGAAAGAGGATTAAGTACCTTTAGCAGAGGCCGAAGATAGAAGCTTCCAGGAAATAAGTTTTCAGAAACAAATATTCCACCAATCCCAGACAAAGAATTGTTCCTATAACCATCATCCCCACTCAATGACAACAAAACAGAGGGACTAGGTTCAGTGGCATCATCCTTGGAATATATTTTCACAGATATTTGACCAAGCTTCTAACAAGAAAAAGAATATGGCCCTACTTGTTTAAGATAAAATCCAGGCTGCACCAAATAAGAGAGTCATCAGAGAATGTAACATGTTGAACACCTAAAAGGAAAAGAAGTTGCACATTGAAGACAATTAAAAAATCAGCTAATTTTTTTCTTGACTATTTAAATCATACTGAAACTGCACCAAGAAAACCATTTAAGAACTATGGGTCCATGATGCTTTAGATCTATGTGTATTTACATCCCTTGCAAAGGCTAAAAACTTATTTTCCATCTAATCACATAAAATGCTAGAAACTCACTTCACCTGCTCTATCTTATATGTATCGCATGCCTTTTACATTTATTGTTAGTGATCACAAGCTATATTTATTTAGAAGACCATGCACCCATAACCATGTCCGGGTGCTTCAGAAAAAATGAAAAGTCTGGATTGTTGACGGGATCTAAAAGATATTTTACCCGAATTTTTAGTAAGACATCCCTAAAAATCTGAGAATGGATTAAGGAATAATTTCCCTAAAATTACAAAGGCAATGCAAGCTATAAATACTGAAATCAATTCTGATTTCTTTGTGATTTAAACTTCCCTAGTTTGTGCTAATATTCCAAAATAATTTAACACTCTTGTAGGCTATACAGGGTTGTATTTGATTTTTAATAAAACACGAGTGAAAATTACAATTCTTTTCTATTTCTTCTATTTCCATTGTTATCTGTTTTTAAAATGGATCACAAGGGTGCAGGCTAGCAGTTTGCAGTAACTGCATCAATTGATGGATCTACTACCTTTTTAAGAGTATGTTTCTCTCCTCTATCATTATATGGTTGACGTACACATCATAACTAGACACTAAAATCAATAAGACACCATTGCCAGCACTGGCTCTTCAAACTATGACTTTTCTACTCAAATATTTATTTTATTTTCTAGGAGTCCAGATACAAACAAATTTAGTGAGAACAACAAAAACGGAAACTATAGGAAAATATGCATCACATGATTGCACCCATATCACATATTCATGTTAGGCCAAAAGACTTCCAACACAGTCCACATATCACCAGAGTCTTGAAGATGAAAACTCTAAAAATTGTCAATTAATAACAAGATAATATCATGGTTACTTATCATAAAAAATTAAGAAAGTATCAAGTCACTTAACCAAAAAGAACATAAAACTATCATTTTGGATATCAATCATATAACTAACATGTTTATATATGAACAAATGCCAAAGTACTGAAACGCACCAAGAGGATGCTATGTTAGTGATTAAATTTGAAAAGGGAATTAATATACATTGGCTCTAAGTTGATATTCAGAAGAAATAATACCAGAATAAACATTCCCTACCTTTGAAGCCTTGACATTGTAAGTTATGTCATCATACAGAGCTCCTGCAACAAAAGACCCATCTGCCTCTGTAGCAGTTTCAAGCACTACTCCTTTCTTGAATGAAGCAATCATGCTCACGTCCCCAGCAATAATCTGTATATGAACACTGAAAATGGGGGGAGAAACTGATCCCTCCAAGTATAGCCCTAATCAACCAGAGAATTGAGGTACTGAAGCTTGACAACCATCATATGTCACCGAAACCTAAGGAACAGTGCAAATAATTGACTAAGATGAAGAAGTAACAGAAAGAATTTGTAAGTTACTATATTTACTGCTTAATTTCAACCGTGTTTCCTTGGTCCCCTCCTCCAAAAGGTTTTATTAAACTTAATGTGGATGCGGCTACTTCGAGTGATTGGAAGAGGAGTGGTTTAGGTGGTATTTTGAAAGACATGTCTGGTTCGATTCTTGGCTCCTTCAAAGAGCCTGCTGGTCCGGGGCCCCCAACTTTAATGGAATTGAAGGCTATCCTAAAAGGTTTAGATTTTTATGAATCTATTTGTCATAGGTTTAAAGATAGATTGATTATTGAGAGTGATAGTAAGGTGGCAGTTGGCTGGGTTAAGGATGTGGTCTCCTGTCCTGTTGTTTATGTTCAAATTGTTAAAGACATTATTCAAAAGCTTAGTGTTTTTGAAGGTTTTATTAGTTGGGTTAGTAGGACAGCCAATATAGAGGCAGATGTTCTAGCTAAGGCTGGTATTGGTTGAATTATGTTCTGTTAAGGGCTGTTTCTTTCTGGTTTTGTATCTCTTGAGGGAGATTAGTTTGTATTACTTTGTTATATTTGAGTTTAATGAAATCCTAGGGCACTCTTTTCCTCCTTGTGCGGATTAAGGAACTATTTTTAAGTTCCGTTAATCACGAAGGGGGTTTTATTGAGGCCTTCTATTCCTATAAAAAAAATGATGTAGTCTAGGATAAAAAAGAAGCTTTTTTTCTCCATTATTCCTGCAACAAGCAATCTTTAGTTATAAAAGGTACACCAATAGCGAGCTAGCTTTTAATGAGATCTCATGTAAGTTACAAATGCTTCTATAGGAGACTCTCATGATCAATCAGCTTCTTTTAAAAGACACTGAGATTTATGGGTAATAGTCAATTCTAAATGTTATATCATTTCAATCTCTTTGGGTTATAATCAATTCTAAATGCTATATCATTTCAGTCTCTTACATGGAATATAGCATATATCTATAAAACCCACCATCAATCACTTGCAATTATCAATAAATCTGTAACGTCCTTGGAAATTTACATTTTTCAACTGCATTAGAAAACTGTTGAAGTTGTGTAAGACCATCAGTTAAATAAAAATATACACGCTTGATACACTAAAAATGCATGCAACAATAAACTCCAAACTCGTGGGAAAATATAAACAAGCATGACCGAAAGCCTGTATGATTCTTCCAACCACAAAGAAGGCTGAAGCAAGTGAATAAGCTCATAGCACTGCCTTCCTACAGAGCATGAAAGAACACTAAAAAAGGCATACACAACACAACAAAGGTTGACCATATTTCCATCTTTTCAAGGAACTAATGAGAGCATAAAAAGTTAGACTCATTACTCAAGCATTTAACATAAATTTGTAGTTGAAATGAAATCTCATAGTTTTTTTTATAGGAATAGTAGGTCTCGTTAAAATGAAATCTCATAGTTATGAAGAAGTTGCACATAAGTAATCAATATTCATAGAAAACATCAAATTGCAGAGAAGAGAGAAAATGAGATATTTTTGCAGTGATTAAAATACAGAAGGTGAAACATCAAACACTGGCACAACAGAAGGTGACATCAAACACTGTATTTTCACCCTTGTAGTATGGTATGAGTTCATAAAACCCTGTAATTGTTCAAAGTAATCAACTCAGACTGAATCAAACTTTTTATACCAATAAATGGCAACATAAGTTCTGCAATTATCTGCTGTTAAGTGCCCATAGCATCTGTTCAGCTTGACTCAAATGTTCTTTAATGAGAAACATATACAAAATCTAAATTGTTGTGTGACCAAAAGGCTCCAACTATAGAAATATCCAGGGTAAAAATAAAACCGTAATTTGTCATAAATAACCAATTGCTTTCCCAATGAGCACTAAAAACAGCTAAAATGAACAGGTACCACTCTGTGAGAAGAGCAACCTTAGCTCACATTCCTTAGGCAAGTCCAGCGTGCTGATTCGAGAGTTGATACCAAATTGGTATGAAATAGCATTTAATGAATGATAGGCAGAAGCACTTTAATAATAATATTCCCTATCCAGCTGTTTAGTAACCACACATAAAATTAGATTATAAAAATCAAATGAGTGGAAGGTGTGCATTTAGATTAGTTTACCAGAAGGAACGGATTTGAATGTGAACAACCAATCAGCATCAGAGACAGCATGGCATAGAGCTTTTCTTTGTTCAGGGGCAGTATCAGAACCTTGGGGACAGTCTACCTCGATAACATCATCAGAATATACATATATATGGACTCCAAAGATGGGACTTCCCTGCCAAAACAGCAACGTGACTGTTAGAGAGTAGATAAAACAATATAAACTTATGCGCTAATGCATTATGCACACATGTGTGGGTGAAAAAAACAATTACTCAAGAATTCTCTTTTAAATCTTTAGAGTGCAACACTCATGCATAGACACCTAATCATATGATGCACTACAAGATGCATAAATAAACGATACTATAATCTTAATAGTTGTTATTTAGCACCTGGGCAAACACAGAACCATGGATGTCGTACCCAGCAACAAAGAAAATGTCTTCAACAACACCATTTTGAAATCCCAGTTCCACCTGCAAGGAGTGCAGTTCCAAGTGGTTATCATATCATAAAACACAGTACAAAGCACAAATGGAGTTGAGGAAATATACAAAACCTCCGTGGAATCTCTAACTTCAATTTTCAAATCAGAACTTGAAGCATGTAAATTGTATTTTCCTGTAACATAAGGATACATGAAAAGTTAAAAACAGTAAGAGAGAGAGGGAGAGAGATGTTCCTAATGCAAATTATTCTAGCAGGTGAAGAGTTTACATATAATGACCAAGTTAATTTGCACATTATTCTGACCTTCTAGTATATGAAGGTAAATTATCTTGTTACTGTCCATGCAGAGAAATTTTATAGAGAAGACGGCTTTTGTTTGTTTAGATTCGCAAAAACCACAAACCATAACTGAAATAACAATAATAATAATAAAATAACAATGAACTAATCAAGATGAAACATAAAAAGTCTCCTAACAAGAAAGTAACACGGCAGCATCCATACCTGGAATAATATTTTTGAACAAGTATCTTCCATCCAACATTGTTAATTCTGAAGAAATGAGATCACCATGAGGAGATAAAAGGTCCGCATTCACATTTGCAGGGCCACCATTCTTAACTAAGCAGCTCTGTCCACCAACAGCTCCCACAACCCTACCAGATAGGGCAAATCTGCAATATATAAATACACAAACTCAAAGGATTATTGACATTGACATTCAGATCATGAGAAAAGAGTGGAACTCAGATTGCACATAATCTAGAATAAAAAAACGATACATGATAAAGCTATAAAACAAACCCTGTAAAACGGATATTGATATCTTCGTTGTTATTGCAACCATTGTCGTCAATGACAACGGGAACCTACAGAGTAGCATTTAGCTTTAAATGTAGGAACATTGATTTGTCAAGAGTATAGAGGACACAGCCTGTAAGAAAATCTCTTGTAATAACAATGAACAAAACCTTGTCAGGGTCCCAAGACCATCCTTCCGGTCCACTTATTTTGATAACAAAAGAACCTTGTACACAAACTACACTGATTAGTCCATCTCCATCAGGGACCTACATTCTCATATCCGGTGTTTCAGTAAGCATGACAAGGCACTGCATACAGTAAGGTCTGAACATGAAAAAATAATTGGAAAAACGTAAAAGCAAACCAGTGGATTAAAAGATTTAGAGAGCAAAAGTATTCTTGCGCTAGCATTAGATCAAAGTAGCTAAGCAAAACAGAGCCCCGAAGATCTCAAATATGAATTCACGTAGTCAAAACCCAGAGTCATATACTGGAATGTAGTAGTATCCATTCGGAGCACACTGAGTTCTCTCCTTTACTAACCCATCTACAGTGCGAAGCTCGACCTGCAAATAAGCATTGACATACTCTGGAAACCAGGTGTCTAAAATTAATATAATACGAAAAAAAAAACAAAGTCCTACTGATGTAACAAATACACAACGCTAAGTCCGCACGTTGATGTGAGAATAATCCAACTTTGTATCAGTTTCCTTCCTCGATTTGATTACAGACGAGCTCGCCTACAAAATGATCCATTAATGTTAAGTTTTACTGGAAGCAATAACAAGAAAAAATTTAAAAATAAAATAAGCGGTCAAAATGAATATCGCATCCTAGCTGAAATTAATGAATTCAGATCTAGAAACACACCAAAAAAGCCCTTCTCACCACTAACTGTCATCTTGATTTCCAAGAAACAATAGAATAAAGATTCGAAATATTTTTTCTTGAAACCTTCTTATCATTTTTTGCATTAAAGAAATGAACAGAAAATAAAATGAAGTGTTAAAAGCTTGCCTCAAGGAACCCGCCACAGCCGTGGACGGAATTTGCCGAGACAGCTGAAATTGTGTAAACTAGGATCAACAAACAAAATGAAGCATCACTGATTTTCATTTTCGATGAGTAATTTAGCTGTCGATGCTTTAGAGCCCCACGGTGACTAAAGTAAGCTCGTTGAAAAACGAGAGACTGAAGAAGGATCTGATACTTGTTGGAATTTTGGCCCATATAAAATTTATAAATCACACTTCGGATGTGTTTGTGAATCGGGTTTGGACTCGGTTCACACCCAACCGAACAACTCTTTAAACTTTAATAATAAAATGATGGGTAAAATACACTTAGAAAGGTAATGAAATGATGAAAAGTCGTGATAGCTTGGATGATTTTAGATAGACTACCCACTCGTGATCGTCATATTCGCATGGGGATTAATACCAATGGGATTTGTGTTTTGTGTAATGAAATGATTGAAAGTCGGGATCATTTGTTCTTTGATTGTTCCATCACCTCTGTTCTGCGAGGAAAAATTATACTCTTCCACAGGCTTAACAAAACATTCTCATCTTGGGAGGACATGGTAACATAAGCTTGTAACACATGGAAAGGTAAATCTCCCATCTCTACTATCCTTAAACTTGCTTAGTGTGCTAACATTTATGTTTTGTGGGAGGAACGTAATCGAAAAATTTTCAAGAAATGCTCCAGAACTGTCGATGAACTTCTCAACAGCATCAGAGACTTTGTTGGCATAAGCTTAGGGGAAAAACATAAATAGGCTCGACTATGTAAACTCCAACCTTTGTACTTATTGGGGTATCTATTAACCGATCGCTATTTTTTGTATTCAAGTAACTGTGTTCAGTGATTGGAAATTGTTTTGTAGCAAACTTTGATTCTTTGGGTAAATGCCCGTCCAGTTCAGTTGGTAGAGCACAAGGCTCTTAACCTTGTGGTCGTGGGATCGAGTCTCACGGAGGGCATTTCATAATTCGGAGGTCTCCGTGGAAGTTGCTTTCAACCTGACGTTGGGAGCCTGCCTACTATCATACCTCCCCCTTACCCCATTACGTATGGGAAAAAAGGGTAAGCTAATAAATAAATTTTTGATTTTTAGGGTAATAAAATTATTCATTTATCCAAAAAAAATACACGTAGATCCCTCAATTATATGGTTTTATAATAAATGATTATTTTATAAAAAAATAATAAATATATCACTTAATTAAAATATTGATACAAATAGATCACTCTGTCTTTTAAAAAATGAACAGAGTATAATGTGGCTGGTAAAATAATACTTTTAGTCCTCAAAATTTATACACTATTAATTTGGTCTTGATTCAAACAATTTAATAAATTTGACCTTTCATATTTAAAATTTTAATCTATTTAGTTTTCTTAAGATAATGTCAAATCAAACGAGTCCATATAATCAAAATAAAATTTGAATAATCGTATTTTTCCATAAAACATTGATGAGTGATGGAATTTACATATATTTGTTGATAATTATTTATTGTTGTTGATTTGATATTACTAATTTAGTTTTGTTTTGACTTATTTTCATTTAGGAACTTATTTTCCAGAATGAACAGTTATAGGGCAAATTCTCCAATGTTTATTTTTTGGAATTGTGGTTGGAGTTATGGGTACTATTTGGGGCACAACATTTTTTGACCTACAGATTTGGATCGTCCAGTCAACATTAATTTCTAGAAGACAATCCAATTAGCATCTTTTAGAAGGTGGATGGCCGAAGTTATTAAGGAAATTTAAAGGATGAATTTGAGATAAATACTTTGAATTATTATTACGATATTTATTTTGAATATTTCTTTTATCTTTAGGATATTTTATCTCTTGCAACTTTCTAAATTAAAAATATCCCTTAATGTGAAGCTTGAGAATGTACTTCTTCGTTTAATTTATTAAGTTCTCTTGGGGGGTTTTATTAGAATTCTTTTCTATTTTCATCTTTTTGATTTTTTTCTTTAATTTTCTTTTTAAAAAATACTAAGTATGACTCTCGTCATGCTTTTGTAAAGTTTTACTTAGCCACAGACTTTTGCGATGACTCGGTTCCTATTGTGAGAATTGAAAAACACTTAATATCTTCGAATAATATTCTCTATTTTCTGAAAACTTGGATTGACAATCAATCATTCTTTTAATTATCACGAACGACTCTTTCACTTCAAAAAGTACGCGTTGACTTGGAAGGTATTTTGATTTACTGTTGGGAGGAATAATCAATTAGTCGTAATTCGACTTCCTGTGAACAAACTTAGCAGTGGTCCACTAAGGTGAATCGAGATCGGATTCGATTCTCAGTTAGACACCACAACCCAAGTTAGGGCTTTTCGATGATCGATCAATGATTGATCATTCCTTGTAGATTGTAATCGGCATGTATCCAAAAGTAAAATTTATTTCGATGATCAATTGAAATTGAGGTAGAGCAAAGCTTGAGGTTATTTTCATCTTATCATATTTTTTTCAAAATTCACTTTTACTTTATTTACCATTCATTTTTTACTCTTATATTTAAAAACCCCTTTTTATTTTTTTCATTAAATCAATATCGAAACAAATCGATATTTGCGCATCGGCCCACTTCTCTATAATATCTTTATTCATTTATTCATTTGAGAAATATAAATTATTTTATTTGACAAAAACGACGTTGTCAAACATCAACAAGTTATTATTAAAATGTTATTATAGTATGAAAGTTATATAACATTTTGGATAAAAGCAAATAATAAAGACTAATACGATGAGATTTTTAAATATGAAAAATTAAATTTATTAGACTATTTTGAATTAGAGTCAAATTGATAGATTATATAATTTTAAGGGACAAACTATTATGTTTTTTTATAAGTTGAGGTAAATACAAGGTAGTATCTATTCAAAGAACATGCTCAACCATTTGACATTAAAAGGTCATAACTCTGGCATTCTTGGTACTCGAACACAAGACCTCAAAGAATAACAATAATTTATTTATAACTGTAAATATTTTATTTATAACAATATTTTAATTAAATGAAATATTTATAATTTTTTAAATAATTTGTTTATTATCAAACACGACTTGAGTGTATTTTATTTTAAAAAATGCTAATGAACAAATCTCTTATATATTACAAAAAAATGATTTTCATCATTGAATTTATAATATCTCAATTGTCCCATAAAACGCTCCATTAATTTTTTTTTTATTGAACCATTCATAATACATTACACATACCTTGAATCTGAAAAGATATATACATTTTGAATAGTATTACACTTTTTTTAAATATCACAATAACCATATTAATCATTTGAATGTTACAATAATCTTTTCATTTGGGACTCTCTTATCTTATCCATAAAAGTAGAGGGTTTATTAATAAATTTTCATCATGTCACCATTTTGATTATTAAGAAGGTGTTTGGTTTGTGAAAAAGATTATTATCACAAAAAATATTTTTTCCGGGAATCACATATCCTCATATACTAAAATGTTATGATATTAAATTAAAATTACATATATAAAAATTTGATAATTACTTCAAAAGTTTGCTAATATGATGCATATAATAAAAGGTTGTCTTATTATATTTTTTATATTTATTAATTTTATCAAATATTTCGATACAACTCATACATGTAATATGAATAAAATAAAAAAGTGTAGCACTTAACACATACTTATACCGGTGTAAGTGGATAAAATAAAAAAAAATATAGCACTTAACACATACTTATACCGGTGTAAATATGTACATCTCTCAATATTTTGGTACTTAAAAATAAACACATAATTATATTGGTATAAGTATGTTTCTATATTTTCAAAGAAATAAAAAATAAAAAATATATATATTAAGTTATTTGTGTACAAATTTAATAAAAATATATACAAATTAGAAATAATAGAAAATTATATTCTCTGAACTTTTATGTAAATATTTTAACTTTAATATTGAGAATTTAACTTATTAAAAATATATCTAAAAAAATTAATAAAAGATACATTTTTATATCTTATATTTTTCAACCTTTTTGTGAACCAAACTACCCTAACAATAATAAACATGTGCCAAGGTAATGGAATAATAACATACTTCTTCCAAAGACATCCTCACTCGGGTAACAATTGAATTAATATTTTTTTATTAATATAAAATGATTATAAATTAATATTTATTCGAAAAACTCTCAATTATTGATAATGAATGTTCAAATAATTCTGCATGTGTCATGCTTGAACTTAATACCTTAAGGATAACAATAATCTATTTAACCACTAAAGTTACTTGATTTGTGCCGAATTAATATTTGTAAATCAAATAAATAGGAACATTTTCACCGTTTTAAATATAAGAACAAATCTCAAATTTTAACTAGAATATGCAGAACCCGAAGTTTAACCCTTACAAAGGGAGCTAATTAGGAACTAACCAACTGGAATATAACGGTTCGCAGAAATACTAAAAAAAAAACTGGGCAATGAAAATCATGGAACATTTTTTTTGGGTGATGTCTTAGCAGTAAGAATCATGAAATAGAAGCTCAAAATAATCCAAATGATTTTAGGAGCTTCAGATTACAACATTACTCGGGGCAGGCCTTTATAAGCAAATCCTGAAGCTCTTTGCTGATTTCAATACCATCATTCTCCAACCTTTGACGCATGTCAGGAGCCACTTTACCAGCGGCAACATAAGTTTTTAGCAACCAATGGCAGGCCTCGGAATCGAGACCATTGTTATTCTTCAGAATCTTGCAGAACTCCTCAGCAGCCTCAACGTCACCTTCATTCAAGAAATATTCAAAGAAAGCCTTTTTAGTTTCGGGAATCAAAGGGCTCCAGTCCTTGACCTCAGAAACCGCTGCTTCCATATGCTTCAAAGCCATGTCAAATCGACCTTTGTTTAAGAAGTAAGCCATGAAATACTCTCGAGCCTTAGTAAAAGGACCTATATTTCTCTTCAAAGCATTATCAAAAACAAGCTCGGCTTCCTCAAGCATATCCCCTGATAGATAACCTCGGATGGTACTACCTGCCAACCTCTTATCATAAATAAGGCAACTACTCTCCCACTCCTTGAAGCAATCCTTCATACCCTCGAAATCATTCAGTTTAGCAAGAGCCTGAATCTGAATAAGATAGCTTGTGTTGTTAACACCTGAAAAGTCTCGTTTCAGAGTTTCCCACAGTCGGAAAACCTCGGCTCGGTTCGAAGTACCTGCATACAGGCTAATCAGATAATGGTAAGCCTCGCGCTGATGAGGCTTCTTATCTGTCTCCAGCTTCTTAAGATATACTTCAGCTTTCTCAAACAGACCAGCCTTAACATAAATTGCAGCCAGATTACTATATGTTTTCCAAGTACACTTAGCTTCACTATCATTTAACAACTCTTCTACAACACTCTCTACTCCCTTGATGTCATTTAAGTCTCCAAAGCTCTGCATCCACATAATGTAAGTGATGTGATCCAGGGGGATGTTTCGGCGCTTCAATTCATTGATAAGTTCGGGCACCTTCTGGGGTTGTCCCATTTTCATATACAGGCACATGAGATTGTTGAAAGGTAAAGAATTGTCAATGAGCTTCAATTCATCCATTTTCTTAAAAAGAGATGACGCCTCGTCCTTCATTATATTATTGCAATAGCAATTCAAAAGAGATCCGTAAGTCATCTTATTCTTGGCACCGGGAGGAAGGGCACTTAAGTAATCCTCAGCAGCAGCAAGTCCTTTGGTTTTTGCTATAAGATCCAAACGTACAGCATGATCAATGTGCGAAAAGTGTATATTCCTCTTCTCCATCCAATCCATTATCTACATTATAATAATCATCATAAACAAATAAATTACAGGCTAAAATTCAAATTAAATAAATGAGTTATTTTTTACTGTTTCTATTTCTTAAGGAACAGTACTAAAACGAAACTTAAGGAAATGGTCATTAGGTTTCAGAAACAGGGGAAATTAAAAATGGGAAATGGGAAGTAAGGGCGTACGTCAAGGGAGTGCTGATAACGACGGAATTTGCGTAGCTCTTTGACACATCGGCTCAGCTCATCTTTCCTGATCTTTTTCCCCTCCATTATGAACTCGTTTAACGTCTCTGACACCGTCCCTCCCGTCGCTGCTAAAATCGACAGCCTCGGGTACAGCCTGTTTCTGTTTCGAGCCGCTGAAGCCGTTGCATTATCGGCTGCCGAAGTGAAAAGCTTTCTCACCAGCCCGGATCCCAGAGGAATCAGATTCGTAAATTTCATCTCTCTCTCTCTCTCTCTTTTGAGTATCAGGGTTTAAGCTCTAGGCACCAGGGTTTTGCTCGGGATTAAGCTTTGGTTCTTAATTTGTATTGTGACCAACAGGTCTAAAAATAGAATGATGCCAAACGAGACCGTTCTGTTTTATTCTTTCGCATCAAAGCGCAGCGCTTCACCATTTTTAAAACTCCAAGCACTGGCGGAACATCGGGTTTAGACCCGCCAATTTTTTTAATTATTAATTAATATTAAAAATTAAATATTTTTAAAAATTAAATAAAGAAAATTTTATCATATCCATTTAATTAAAAAATTGCATTTATGAAAATCAACAAATATTTTAACCCCTACTAAAATAAATTCCTAATTCCGCTTTTGACTCCCAAGTATATTTTTTTTAGGTGAATGTATCATTATATTCCAAAGGCAGTCAAACTCCAACACAGTAACTCCAACTATATTTTTATTTTAATAATCTAATAATTAAATTCTTAAACTGTACTCGTTTGAGCACAAAGTGATTAAATCTTTAAAACATAATGTTATGAGACTTTTATTTATGAATTTAACTTATAATTTTAATTTATTCTTCCTCGTAATTGGTACTTTTCTCCATTATCATTTATCATTATTTATTATATAATTAATATCAAAATGTTTATTTATTTCTTCTTAATTTTATTTTCTTCAAAATCAATAAATTTAAAATTCTGACTTTATCTTTATTGACATGTAATCTCCACCAAAGGTGAATACATGTATAGGCCTACTTAGACCATTGCCCACCTCATGCCTAAAAAAATGGAATAGAACCCAAGTAAGTAGTGTATATATATAAAAGTAATATCCAATCTCTAACACGTCAGAAATTTCAATATGACAATATATTAAATGAAACAATTAAGTGATAAAGAAATATAAATTTATTGATTTCTTGAGTTTAACTAAATATAAGTATTACAAGATTAATTATAATACAAAAGACAATTTATATTAGTTGATAATTTAAGCATGTTCGTAATGAAAGACGTATATTGTTAGTGTATTTGAATGAAGGGTATAACATGGAATGTTAATTATTTTCTTCACTCTTCTTGCTAATTTTGTAAGGAAATGGTATAGCATGGAATGTTATATAATTAGAAGATTTCATTACTAAGGAATGCATGTTTGGTGTATTTGTATTCTTTTGTTAAAATTTGTTTATATGAGTTGTTTGTTCATCTAGATATGTTTTAGACTCTTTTTTTTTTGAAGCTTAGAATTTTCAAATCTTGAGGTGGATTTCGAAATTATACATCAGGTTTCAAAACTTTCCGGAATTTCTAAATCATAAAATTTGTTGCGCATAGAACTTTCGAAACTTCTCCGAATCTTAAATTTTACAATTTTAATCCAAAAAGCATAATTTGATCGTTTGGGTTTGACCTAATCGTCATTTTTTGATTCATAATGTTTAAAGAGAATGTGTATAAACATAGGGTTAGTGAATAAAAATATGTCTTTTACATTGATCCTCGAAACTTTTACTAATTTCAGTTAAATCCCTAAAATATGTGAAATTACAAATTATACTCATTTGTCGTTCTGGTTTTCATGTAGATCTCTATGTTTGACATATGAATTGTTGTTTTTCTTCGATAGGTGTTTTATGATTGTTTAATTAATTGATAAATTTATTTTAATTCCAATTCAAGTTAATTGCATCATATGTCCCTAAACTATAACCCTAATTTTAAATTGTTCCTTAAACTTTTGAATATGCCAATCCATCCCCAATCTATTACTCTCATTCTAAACTAGTCATTAAACTTTTGAACATTCTAATTTCATTCCTAAACTATGACCCTCTTTCTAAATTGATCCTCAAACTTTTGAAGTTCCAATCTTACCCATAACTGAAATGTTTAAAGTTTGAGGACTAATTTAGAATGATAGTCATAGTTCAAGGATAAAATTGTAATATTTAAAAATTTAAGGATTAATTTAAAATGAATGCCATATTTTGAGGACATGTGATGCAAATAACCCTTCTAATTCAATGCAGATTAAAACTGATCAGTCAATACGATATCTTCGACTTAGTTCCAACTAAAACAAATCGAAGGTGTAACATAATGCCTCTAAAAATAGTAGTATGAGAAGAATCACGCTGACGCTATCGATGCCAAAACATCGTCCACACACGTACGAATAGTTCCATGCTTATAAACAAACAACGGAATATCAACATTAGAGGACTTGAAAACCAATGTGCACAAAAATTCCTTAAGCTTCAAGACCAGTTACGAGGCAACTTTCAAAACCCATATAATGTCTTTTTCAGTTTATACACAAGAAGAGTTGTATTATCATGATAAGTTACACACCTCTCGAAACTACACCATAAACACATCTACTTGGTGCGTTATTAACATCATGGGATGGCCAACAACTGGCGATACAATAAAGAAGTGAAAACTGTAATTAAACAACAATTTTGCAGCATGAATTTTATTTTGTCAATCCGATTGTTCCCTTCCTAACGTTCAGAAAACAGCCTCAACAAGGGCATGTGTCTTCTTGGGGCACCCCATACCAACCAAGTGGCTGAGATAAACTTTCCCATCCTTCACAGTTGCCGCTGAGGCCAATCGATGGGCAGGACCCTTAAACTTTGCCACGACGGAAGCCGTCTCCCATCCATTGGAGCTCTCTACCAATCTACCCGAAGGGTTCCCGGCAACAACCAGCTTTGTCGGAGAAATTAACTCAAGACCATCACCAAAGACTAGTGAGCCTCCATCTACTTGAATCAACTTGACGTCGTCTCCCTTGTTTAGATCAATCTTAAACAAATTGCCACTGAAGGTATGAATTACAATCAAGAAACCATCGGGGTGGTGGACAATTCCGTTCAATGCAACCATGTTTTTGTACCACTCTTTTGGAGTGAAGAGTGGGTTTCTGATGACAGACAAGAACTCGCCATTAACACCAACTTTCCAGATTTTACTAGCTTTGGCGTCGGTAACATACGCATTACCATCTGCATCTACTGCAACATCATCCGCGAAGGATTTCTCATCACCTAAGGATCAAGGAAAAAAAACCGTTTAAAGTTTATTAAATGCATATACTAAATGTCTAAATCATATGTGATACATATATTTGACATCATTTAAATGTGGATCCAAAAATGTATAACGCAATCTCGACCCTGTCCCTACCCTAATTAATTGGAAGGGAAGAAATGCATTTTTTTGGGGATAAATCTGTTATATTACCCAAAGCAGTAGAACTCTGTGACAAGCATACAAAAACAACAGCCAAACTCAAAATTCAACCAAAAGCCAACTACTCCACAACAAATAAAACCACCCCATGAAGTTTAATGTGGTATACCCCTCATGTGCCATAATGTTATAAATTAATTCACCATATGTACATGGTAACATATTAATATCAGATTTATGAGTTATAATCCTGCATTATTGGCCTCCAACATTTGGAGAGAAAAAAAGAATGCCCTTCAACAAAAGCAAAACTTTGATAGGTTAAAACAAGTTCGGATTCCAACACATTTCATTTAAAAAAAATGAAATAAAAGTTAATTATTTTAATTATTTTGTCTGAAAACTTTGTTCTTCAACAACTTAAGACCATCTAGTACTAGTACTATTCTTTCATCTGTCTGTACCACCATCATCTCCATGGTTTAGATTTTTTAAAATATCAAATTTTCGATATTTCATAATTAAATAAATGTAGATTATTTTTGAAGTTTTAGATTAAATCTCTTAAAGTAAAACTCTCTCATAATTGTATATATAAAAGAATATAATAATTCATTTAAACATTATCGTTCTTCAGACTAAAAGGAAAGGATAAATTATTATGGTGATACTTACTAGGGCCACTGAGCTGGGTTAAAAAGAGCCGGTTCCACGTGGACAAATCATAAGCCACGAGAGCGCTGTATCGGTTACGGAGCAAGTCGGCCTCAACCACAAGCAGCCGATTTCTGGAGCTGTCAACGGCGATGCCGAGGGAAGAATTTCCGGCCAAGTCAAAGTCTTTGACCACAGTGGACTCTTGCAATACGAGACCCGGTGCGTAGTCGTCGGGAACGTGGATTTCACCGACGCCACCTTCCAAGAAACTGACGAGGAATCGACGGCCTTGATCGTCCCACTTGGCGCACTCCCTGAAAAAGCCGGTGCTATGGTAGTGGAAAACACGGCTGGTAGGCTCGGCACGTTCTTCTGAGATGATATAAGCTATGGGTATTGCCGATACGAGGAAGACGAAAACAAGGAATCTAGGAGAGCAAAACCTAAGCCCCATTGTTTTATCTCGCTTGAGTTGGTGTCTGTTTGGGTGAATACTAAACGAAAACCCAAAAAGGAAAGTGTGTTATTGGTGGTTTTGCTCAATTATTTCGTTTGTTCTCGGTTTCTATAACAAATATTTTATTCTTGAAATTAGTTCGAAAAGAGAGATGCCGAGTCTTGTATATTAGCACTTTCTTTTATATACTGTTTAGGGGCGAGTGTTCAATTGTTCATGACAAAAATGATGATAATAATTTTTCATAAATCTTATTTTTTATTCTAAGTTTTTCTTAATTCCTATCAATAATAACGTTCTTTTTTCCAAATTGTTAGAATGTCATTTTCTCCTCTTATTTAATTATTTGTTATTTTTCGTTTTAAATACAAATATCTTTAAAATATAAGTTTTCATATTAATAGATTTGTTATATTTTTAATTAGATAATTAATTATTGGTGGTATAAATTTATTAAATATGTTTATTTCATATTAATTTGATATTTAAATGATTTTATAAATTTTTAAATAATACTTAAATATCTAATATGTTTATTAATATTGTGTTTATGATCTCTAATATCATATTTTAAATATATTATCTAAATATCTAGTTCATGATATTAATTTAATTGAAATAATATAAACTTAATTCATATTTAATACAAATTTGATAAGATTGAAGGTCTGTGTATTTTTTTTATATCATAAGATTATTTTTCTCGTTCTGAGTCATCTTATGATATAATAATAAGACGGACAAACAAAAATTCTTCGGGACTAGTCCTTTTCTGTCTTGTAATTGTGTAACTTCCCAAGTTAATACGTAGCTGAGCCCACTTATTTCAAAAAGGGCAAAATAGAGAATTAAGAGCTTTTCTATAAAAGTCGTCAAAAGAAGTAAAGCCTCATTTCTCTGGGAAGTTTCTGCCATCGAATTCCATCCTTGGTTCATCGACACAGCGTTGTTCAGGTAAACCCTAATTTCTTCCTTCGATTTTCCTTTGGTTTTCTTTGGGGTTCCGGTTTTAGATATCTTTATCCGTCTAAATGACGATTCACTTGTTTTAGTTCTTTGTCTTGAAAGTTCTTGAGATTGATTTCAATGATTGAACAGCGTGCACGATGGTGATTTAAGATCGTTTTTTGTTTTATAATTGTTTCATCGTCTGAAAATTCCGGTTGAAATTTTTATGTTTTTTGTTTCTTAATTGTTAGCTAAAAGCATAAATTTCGATTTGATTATTTTTAAATCACGACAGCGCTTGTTTTAATTTTTCTTTTTAGCATTATTTAGGGCTGTATTGCTTGATTTGTTGGGAAGTATTGTTAATATATTTTCCCTCAAGCTAAGAAACTCGAAATCTCTCTATAATTTGAGTGCTTAGACATAAGAGATACTATGAAGTATGCAATGTAAAACTGCTGTTGAATGGAACAAAGAAATTGAATGTGTTGATTTTTGCATTGGCAAATAGGAAGGTGTTAAGGTGAGGCTTCATTTATAAATTTGTGTTGTAAAGTATTAAACAATGAATAAGTTGAAGGGGTTGGCTGTATTGCTTGCTTGATTGACAACCATAAAATTGTTTTTTAACACAACGCTTTAGATGCCAGCTTTATTGTTCCCAAAACAAATAGATGTATAAGCAGTACAGATTATAGCCATTTTGAGTGAAAGGAATCAATATTTGAGAACGAATCTGAGTATGTTGTTCATCTTTCTTCCGTGTGTTGCTTTGAATGGGTCGAATTTCTAGTTATAAGTACAAAAATTCACATGGATTGCTCTATATTGTCATTATTAGTGTTATTAACAATAGAGTTGGAAAATTAAATGTTTATTATTGCTTTGGTTTACTAGATTTTACTACAGAAGTGAAATGGCGGGTGGGAGGGTTGCTCATGCTACCTTGAAAGGACCAAGTGTTGTTAAGGAGATAGTTATCGGGATAACGCTTGGCCTCTGTGCTGGTGGGCTCTGGAAGATGCATCACTGGAATGAGCAGAGGAAAGTGAGAGCATTCTACGACATGCTCGAGAAAGGTGAAATCAGTGTTGTTGCAGAAGAATGAATGTTTTAATTTCTTGTGAAATTGTGGACAGCTTCAGCTGCATTTTGTTACTTGCGTTCCCTTCATTAGACTCCTATATTGATGATGAGCAAACTCAATTTGAATAATTTCATCTCATTGAGATCTTGATTTCAATATTTGCTTGGCATATTGTGCCCATATGGATTCTTCTATAAAAGGTTTCTTTTGCATCTGTTTGATGAAGTTGTTTGATCTGGAGTTTGATAAAAGTTTGAAAGCTAGTCGTGTCAAGTCATTGTTATGTGTCATGGTTCCAGTTGGGAAGTGGGGAAGATTATAAAAAATGAGCACTATGTAATTTGTTAGTGGTTGTAGATCACGAAAATCAAATGTCATTATGGGGTTATAGTTTCATATCAAGAATCTGTTCTTTATGAAGTTATATACAAGACTCGGTTCAGCAGATGGCGTTGCCGGCAAACCAATAACACAATTAAATGCATGGGTATTAAATGCAGAAGTATTGTTTCGTATCACGAATAGTCCCATACGAGAAATAGTTAAAATTTCATCTAAAAAATTCAAACAAAAGATATATACAAATAGATTTGTTTGGATTGATAAACGAAACACAATAAGAGATTAAATTATTGAAAGACCATCGACAATTGTAAATTAGAGTCAAACATCGCGAAAAAATTATCATCGAACACTTGTCAAAATGTAGAGAAAAATGTGTTACAAAAGTAAGGATATTGAAAAATAAAGAAAACAAAGGAAAAATAAAAATATATTATAAAAAATATAAGGAAAACAAGTAACACAAATGGTCTGTGACCAATACCAAAATTAATGTCGTTGTCCTTAAGGATCATGATTTATGGAATTTTGAAGCAGGTTCAAATGTCAGTTGGAGTTTTCGTAGATTTCTAAAGTTGAGACCAATTGCTTATCCTATTGTTACGTATGCTCCTCAGTCAATTAGGGAAGTCTGGGATAAGATTCGGATGCAAGGCACGAAAGTTCATTGGCATAGACTGATTTGGTACCCTTTACATATTCCAAAGCACAGTTTGATCTCTTGGATGACATTATTGGACAGGTTACCTACTAGAGATCGTTTGCGGAGAATGGGGTTATGTTCTGATTCTATATGCGTTAACTGCTGTCATTTTCAAGAATCGCTGGATCATCTTTTTTCTCAATGTCCTTTTGTTGTTGGTCTTTGGAAAGCTATTTTGAAGCTTAATGGTATGTCTTATTCTTCTCTCACTTGGGAAACAATGGTCTCTCGGGCAAGCACTTCCTGGAAAGGGAAGTCTCTTATCACCACTTTGCTGAAGATTTCTTGGAACGTTTTCATTTACTCCATCTGGCAGGAAAGAAATCAACGTATTTTCCAGGGTCGATTTAGATCAATTGATACTTTGCTTAAAGATATTGTCGAAGCTGTTAGTATTAGACTAAGGTGTAAAGCTATAGATAGACTTGATAGTACTAATTTTTACCTCTGTAATGCTTGGGGTATAGTCTAACCAATATTTGGTTCATTTTGTAATTAGGCTGTCTTGTTTTTGTTGATTGGTTGTAGCAACATTGCTATTTTGGGTAATAAACTGCTGATTTATCCCAAAAAAAAATCTTTAATGACTCTTTTATCTAACAGAATTCACATATAAAAATGATTACGTCCAAATTCAATTTTAGAGGAACATTTCATACGCCCTTGGTATCTCTGTGTTTACTGTCTAGGGTTGGGTGTGCTTGTACTTATTTGACTCTTTATTCAAATTTTTTCTGGTAGATGGCTGGCTCTTTATTTAGGCGGAGTCCTTTGTTTTTGTTTAGGATGTCTGTATAAGTATCTTTTTCATTTGGCTAAAAATTTAAATAATGATTTTAGAGTATCAGAAAGAGTCCTGTTTGTAGACAAAAAGTTCACCTGTCAACTTGCACATAGCATCAACTCATATGGTTTGGGCTACAAAAAGCGCATATCTTTCCTGCAGCCAATCACGACTTCCCACTGAATAGAAAGCAACAACAGCTTCTGGTATAATTGGCAGTAGCTAGTAGATTCCATACAGTCCAAATTTCAGATTTTTTTTTATCCCCATTTGATTCTTAAAAAACAAGTACATACATCATGTTTTAATCCAATTCTTTTTCTTAATTATCCGGTTTTCCAATGGCACATAAGAAACAAGAGTTCACATCCATACAGCGGCTTTCACTTCAAAACCCAGGGACCAGAGTAGTAAATATAATCCAACCCAGGGAACTCCAAACCACGGCAACTACCTCCTTTAAAGTTCAAGCTTCCTCTTTTGCTTTCTTATCAACACTTTAAGGCCAATAATTTCTCAGATCCTTCTTATATTCAAATTGAAACCAATAAAAAATACACACAACCCAGAGTCGTAGCAATGGAAGCAGTGAAGCTCAAGAAAAAGGATTGCAAAATTGTAGTGGCCGTGGATGAGAGTGAAGAGAGCATGTATGCACTTTCATGGTGCCTCTGTAACTTGATTTCTCAAACCACAATAAACAAGCTCATCCTTCTTTATGTCAAGCCCCCGCCTCCCGTCTATTCTTCCTTAGATGTTGCAGGTTAACCATGACTGCTTCTTCAAATCGTTGCTCTTTCTATCAATTATAAGTACTTAATACTCTTTAAATTCTGCCAGGACTATTGTGCTCACAGCGTATGGTTTCAGGGTATATATTTTCGGGCGATGTGATCAGAGCGTTGGAAACCTACGGCAATGATCTGGTGAACTCGGTGATGGGAAGAGCCGAAGATATATGCGGAAAGTTCAGCAGCGATGTAAAAAGGCTCTTGCTTTGAACTTGAACGCTGCCTGTTTTTATTTACTTTTGTATTATTCTTACTGATGAATTCAAGTGTGCGCAGGTAAATGTGGAGAAAATCGTGTCAAGTGGGGATGCTAAGGATGTTATATGCAAAATCGTGAATAGAATCAAACCCGATACGTTGGTGATGGGAAGCCATGGTTACGGTTTCTTCAAAAGGTATTATAAATTTATAATAACTTTACAACTTCATTTATGGATTTATTTCCAGGAAATTTCCCATTTTGTTTAATTAATTCTTGTAGGGCTTTTCTAGGAAGCGTGAGTGATCATTGCGCCAAGCACGTTCAATGCCCAGTGGTGATCGTGAAACATCCGGAGAAGATATAAAGGCTTTCCTTTTTGCTGCATTTTCTTCCTTGAATATTGTCATATAGAGAGAGAGATCAAATAATAAGTAGTAAATGTTTATTATGGTCTGCGATTTTCTTATCTGAAAGCCTGTGTGTTCCTCAAAGAAGGAGATGGAGTTTATCAGTTTATGCCTTTCAAGAGTATGGCATAATCATTTATCCATCAGCATCAGTTTAGGTGCTCAATATTTATCAAAATTTAATATGAAATACAATTTATTGAATGGTTTTAGTATAATATTTATTTAAAACAAATTAATTATGATAATACATATATCTTATAAATGTATCTATTCGAATCTAAAATTTCAAAGGAGAATAATACCCTCTTTAACCACTGAGGTCACTCAATAAGTTCATTGTCCATTGATACAATATTAATATTTGAAGATTTAATTAAATTAGTTTAAGATTTGGGGACTAATTTAGACATAACATATAATGTGAGTGTGCATTTGGTAGTTAACCCAACCAAAAATTACCGCAGCATAAAAGTTCGCCATTCTATTACTTGAAAATCTACGAAGTTAATTATGAGTAGATTTGTTGTGTGATAAATTAATTTAAAGTAAAAAAAATAGTAATTTTTAAGGTATAATTAAAAATATAATAAAAATTATAATATTTTAGATTAGTGTAACTTAAAATATTATATTTTTATTAATATTTTCAATTAACCCTAAAATATTACAAATAAAATAATATTATAAAAAAGATAATATTTTTGATTCAATAAAAATATTAAAAAATATAAAATTTTCGATTCAATAAAAATATTTTAAAAATATAATATTTTAAGTTACATCTTATTTCAGATATTACGATTTTCATTACACCTAAAAATATTTTTTAATATTAAATTAAACCGCCGCCGCTGATACTTCTTCGAGTAATTATATGGTTTTCGAGTGAAACGGAGTCGCATCTCACAAAAGAAAGGGCGCCCACAGAAAAACCGAGATACAGGTTATGAAATTCCATATTTGTCTCAGATTTTGAGATAACATCAAGAGTTATTTTTCTCCTTTTCCCAATATTACCCTCCAGTGCCTCCAACTCGTTTTCCCAATTTGATCCTGTCTTATTTTCAAAAAAAAAAAAAAATTGATCCTTTCTTCTATGGTATGAAGTGGTTCCCTTGAATTACATCGATCTCACCGTCCCTCCGCTCTCGGATACTCGCAAAATATCGAGCTTCATCCGTTTGTATTTTCCGGGTCTCCGAAGTTTGAACCGGAGAGCGAAACGATGTTTCTTGTGGATTGGTTCTACGGCGTTCTTGCCTCCCTCGGTCTATGGCAGAAAGAGGCCAAGATATTGTTCCTCGGCCTCGATAATGCCGGTAAAACCACATTGCTTCACATGTTGAAAGACGAGGTTCGTTCCCCCCCCCCTTTTAATACTTTTCCCATTTCGCTTCAAGTACCGAAATCTGTTTTTGAAGGTATAGTTTTGGATCTCGAATCAACTTCGATTGATCAGGAAATTTTGAAAGAAAAAGGTAATTAATTATGTTGATTATTATTTAACTGTTTCCAGAGATTGGTTCAACACCAGCCAACTCAGTATCCCACATCCGAGGAGCTTAGTATTGGGAAGATTAAGTTCAAAGCTTTTGACTTGGGTGGTCATCAGATTGCTCGCAGAGTCTGGAAAGATTACTATGCTAAGGTAGGCAAAAGCTGAATGTATTGCCTATTTTCTAAGTAAAATTTGCTTGATTTTAGGTTCCAATGTTTTTACACCGTCAACCGTGTGTTTTCTTGGTTTGCATGTTTGGTACTTTTAGTGATTCTGCATTCACTTGAATCTGTTTATTTTTAATTCATTTTCTATGGTTGTTAGAATCTCAATTGCCGGGAGTTTTTTAGTTTTGACGACAGAAATTTCTCTGTGCTCATATGTCGCACTGATGTTTTTGTGCCTGAGCTATTTTTTCTGCCGTATGAGAAACAAACTAAGATTGTTTCTAATGTCATATGCTGATTTTAAATCATTCCATGGTCATGAATTTTCAGTGAGGTTGGTGTTTTGATCACCTTATGGAATGCATAAACTTTTACCTGATTGATTTATTTCTCTAGTTGTCTAGGTGAAACCAGGGTCTCGAACAGTTACCAAAGTCTCAAACTCTTATTATTAGATCTGTTGTAAGTAGTTGCTTTCATCTTTAGTTAAAGCATATCACTATATTCATTTTGGAAAGGTGGCCATTGGTCGAGTATTATCTGTCAGCTGTAGCTTTCTGCAACCTTGTAGCTTGCATTGGTTGATTTTTGTAAATATATTTCTCCAGCATATAATACAAAAGGCATAACAAAGAAAAGGAAAAGGAGATTCCTTGCGGGGCATGGGTGTTTTTCTTTCGCCATTCTTGTTGTGCCGAAAACAGCAATGTATATGCTTGTGTGTTCAACCAGATGATCTAGATTTGCCAGCTGGATGTGAAGGTTGAATTGAAGTTGTATGTATGTACATTTTTTTAACTATCATTGCTTTCGAGCAACATACAATTTATGATGAGACTAAAGTTTAGATGACAATTTTTGCTGCTATACGTCTTTGTTCTTATTGTTTTGATTGAGAAGCTATGGCTGCATGGTCTCCAGCGAATGCTTTGAATTGTATATTATTTTTTGGTTCCAGGTGGATGCTATGGTTTACCTGGTAGATGCCTATGATAAAGAGAGATTTGCAGAATCGAAGAAGGAACTGGATGCACTCCTTTCAGACGAGTCCCTTGCCAATGTCCCATTTCTTATCCTTGGAAACAAGATTGATATACCATATGCTGCCTCTGAGGATGAGTTGCGATACCATCTCGGTCTCACCAACTTTACCACCGGCAAGGGGAAGGTAAACCTAGCAGACTCAAATGTCCGTCCACTAGAGGTATTTATGTGCAGCATTGTCCGCAAAATGGGATATGGTGATGGCTTCAAGTGGATGTCTCAGTATATCAAGTAGGTTAATGACCAGAAAGATGCATTATGCATTCGTACCCCAACTCCATCTCATTGCATTGATTCCGGGGAAAAGAATGTATACATCAAACTGTTTGAACAGGCCCCCAAGTGTGCTTTAAATTGGGATGTATAGAAGGGAGGTAATACTGTCACTGTCCTGTAAAATAGTTGTGGCAGCAAGTCTCTGGTACTGTAGTTTTCTCAATGAACTTACATATCCTACCACAATCTGATGGTTTTCACTAGAAAGCAATGTTTCTGATATGTCATCAAGTCATAGGGTTAGGGGTGAAGTCGTCCAACTCAATTAGAATTCAATTGAGTAGTATTTTCAACTTTGAAATTGATTATGATAGTTTCTTTTATGAATAATTCTTGATTCATATGAATATCATCTCAAATTAGACATTCGAATTCCAACTTTGGAAACAAGATTGACATACCATATGTTTATTAAAACAAAAAAACTAGCCAAAATTTCCTTCAAACCATTTGCGTAGCCCAAAATTTGCTTGTGAATAGAATAACTCCCTAGTTTGGCCCCGCCATGAAATCATCTGAAAGAAACAAGAAGAGGCATAGTAAACCAATACGTAAATACAATGTCTCCCCCCATTCAATTTCTTAATCTTTGATCTCTTTTTTGAATAACGTTTTATAACGCAATTTGGTATGTTCCATGCCATAACGTTTACCAAGTTCTTTTTATATAATCTTCAAATAAAATAATATAAGATTACTCATCTAAAAATCGTACCTATATTTAGTAAGAACTATAAATAATTTTTATTATAATCATTATTGAATGAATTTTGAAAATTATATTTTTCTATATAAGATATTTTTTTACTCACTCTATGAATCTAATAAAAATTTAAATATTTCATATCCGACAAAGAAATCAGGAGACCAAACCAATTATCATCGTTGAGTTCAAAGTCCTCAATCTTAAATTTAATTAACTTAAAAGTCCATAATTAAGTTTTAACACGTCCATGATTGAAACCAATACCGTTAAATTTTCTTTTCACATTACGTATTGGACAAGATTTAGATACAACAAGTGATTTAAAAAACACTCGCCATTGAAGTACGGATATTCAGTTAATACAGTTTATGGTTGAACCAATTCTTTGGTGTGGATTTTGTTTAAGTCGGGTACAGCAGACCTACACCAGGGGGCGGAGCATTCATCAGCCTGGGATTAATATAAGGGAAGTTAGATGATGACAATGGCAGGGCCCGCTTGAAACTAAAAATCCAACGACCCTTAAATCTTTTATGATATTTTAGTTACTCCACCACAAAATCGTTCTCGATATGGAACCGTTTAACAAACACAATCTACAACTTGAAGGTACCCTCTCCAGATTCATGCATTAAAATCCATCATCATCGCTTTCATCTCTCGATTCCTACACTCAAATTCCCATATATCATTATCGTATGTATTATGGGTAACTATATTACCACTGCTACATGCCTGCCATCCGATACCGCCGGGAAAGTAATTCTCTGGGATGGTTCGGTACAAGAGTTTAGCTGTCCCTTGGAAGCGGCGGAGCTGATGTTGGAGCACCCGCAACAAGTTGTCGTGGAGTTCAACGCAACAATTAATCAGAAGAGGCCGATTCCGTTGCCGGCAGACCATAAACTCGACGTGAAAAAGATTTACGTGATGCTACCGGTGAGACGAGGGAAGCCGATCACGTTGTCATCGGAAGAAGCTCGTCGTGTGCTGTCGAGTGCGAATTCAGTCTTGAGGTCAAAGTCGATTTTATCGTCGTCCCCGAAATTTCTTCCTCTCTTTTCACGGATTTGCACACGAAAGATCATGTAGACGGGACGGGACATAAGTTCCCGTTGCAGAAGAAGGAAAGCGCCGACGAGAGGCCTGATGGGGTTCGGAGTTCAATGGAGTTATTTCCGGAGAGTTCAGAAAGTAGGCCGGAATACTTGAATATGCAATATTCAGGCAAGGGATGGAAACCAAGCTTGGATACTATAAACGAGAAGGTACGACATAGGTTGTTTTAACGTTCAAAGTTTATTAGGTATTGTTAGCGATCTCGAGCACTTGGTTTATATTTTTGTTCTCCTTTAAATTGTGAGTTCAATACCCATTAAGAATAAGATTTTTTCCCTCTCTTTAAGTAGAAAGTATCCAAAAATAATAATAATAATAATTAGTTATTACAGGTTGCTAAGCTTGTTTTGTAACTCCCATGGTCATGGTTTAATTACTTTTAGTAGAAAATAATTAATAATATCTAAATATTGCACATTATCCTTAACTTTTATTATGATAATAATATCAACTAAGTAATTGTTTAATAGAATAATATTGGTAATGTTTTAAGCACTCCAATTTCATTGAGACTGCAACTTTAGGGTGATCAAATTATAGGATTCTCCTGCATAAAAATGGTAATGCAAATAGTATGCGTTTAATTTAAATGGTTCGGTTAGTCATTATGATAATTATTAATTTTTTTAATTGTAATTTAATTATTAAAAATAATTAATTATTAACAGTACAATTATAAGTTGATTTGTAATCTATTACTACAATCTTGTATATGTTCACTATTTCTATTGAATATAATGAAATTATTTCTCCAATATATATTATATTAGTTTTTTAAAAAATTATATATAAAAATCCTGAACACAAACTACATAGTTAAAAAATTACATACTCATACTATATAATTATTAGTACATTTTTCTTAACAATGGAAACTAGATTTTATTAATAAGAATAATAGAAGGAACCAAAATTGCAACACATTTAAACATATAGAGAAAAATGAAGAAATAGTCACCAAAAAAATTCATACAAAAAATAAAATTATTAAACCAAAATAGATGAAGAAAAAAGAAACATTCCATTGAGAATGAAGTTCAACATCAAAATAACACAATAACATTCATAAAACTCATTGTCCCTGTTGAATTAGATGTTTTACAAACCTTTTACCAAAGAGGGAATCTGTCAATATGTGGCAATCGATAAATCAATTAGAAAACAAATGTCGTGAGGGTCTTTGTACGAGCACCAACACGACAGTAAAGGTAAGAAAAAAAACGTACCAAAAACCGTAACGAACGTGCCGCAAGTACAGAGAAAAAATGTGTCACAAGAACATTGAAAAGTGTATCACAAAGACATTTTTATTTCAAATTTTAAAAATTATAAAAAATGAAAGCAAAAGACATAGTATGAATAACAATGAGAAAAATAATAATAATCAACGATCGAAAATCAATATTAAAATTGATGTTGTCGCTAAACAAAAATTAAAGGAAAATAAAAAAGACAATATAAAAATATTGAGAGAAAAACCCTAATTTCAGCTACTATATTTTAAATTTAAACAAAAGGGAGGATGAGAAAAATACAAAACGAATAACTGACCAAAGCATATCAATCAAATTTTTTCTTCTTAATACAATTACATATTGATAAATTAATTTAAAGTTCCAACACAACACAAAATACACCCTTACTAATTACGCTACAAAATTAAGCACATATCATACAACACAAAATACACCCTTACTAATTACACTACAAAATTAAGCACATATCATATAAACCATCAAAATTTTAAAAATAAATCTTTAATAGAAATAAAACAATTATTAAACTTCTACTTTCTCTTAAAAAAATATATCTATAATTTAATAACAATTAACATATAATTAATTATTTTTTAAAATTTGTAACTGTAATCATAAACATTAAATAAAACTTTTTAACAATTCAATTAACCAAAATTATTTAACTTTAATTTAATTAATTATTTTATAAAATATAATAATTATATCAATTAACAATTACGCTCCACTCCATTTGCTATCCTTTGATCAGAAAATGCGAGCCCTACTTATGGAATGGAAAGGCTTAGGGTCTATTTGGTTCTAGAAATATATGTTATTTTCATTTTTGTTTTGAAAAATAAAAAAATAAGTGAAAATATACATATTTTTTCAATATTTTCATTAAAATTATTTTTGAAAATTTGAAAAATAGGAAAAATGCAAGATCTAGATTTTTAACTTAATTTACACGGTTCAAATCATTCTAACAACAAATTTTTGACTTAATGGTATCTGAAGCCCTCAAATTTTTTTAATAAAAATCAATATGGTTCCGAATTTTTTTTAAACTCAATATTGTCCTTAAATTGATTTTTTTAATAATTTAATTTTGTAATATTTTTTATATTTAATGTATTGAATATCTTAATAATTGTTTATATTTTATATTTAAATATATTTTTTAAATTAAACAAGTCCTCGATCTTTCTAAAAAATCAATTAGGTCCTCGAACTTAGTTACAAAAATTAATTAAATACATCTACCACATCATTATCCATCGTGTATTGTTGCATCAATATTGTAAATTTCCTTGTAAGCATCCTGAATATCAATGTTTGATTCTGTTGGTCAAAATATTAGATTGATTCTTTTCTCATTTTAAGGATCACATTAAGTGCAAAAAAAAAAAGTTCAGGAGCTGCACTAGTTTTCCTCCCAAAAGTTTAAGGGCCTCAAATATTAGTAAACATTATAGATTTTTTCCCAACGTATTTAATTGATTTCCAATATGCATTAACATTATATTCTATTATAAACTAAAATAATTTTTGTGTTATGAAATTTATTATCAAATTTCTTATTTTATATTTTCATAATTAACATGTTAAATTTATGTAATGAATTTTTTAAATAATTTTTTTAATTTAATTATTTAATAACTATTTATTCGTCTCTATTTTTAAAAATTAGATCCAAAAGATATTTTATTAATTTTATTTTCTTAATCAAACATATTTAATGATTTTAAAAAAATTATAAAGGAAATTATATTTCTAAAAGTAAAAATAAAAATTATTTTTTAAAATTAAATGGAACCTTCTACTTTGATGAAACTTATAGGTTTGAATGAAGCAAAATCCAATAGCGGAGTCTATATAAAAGCCCAATCAACTGAGTCAATATTGTTCATTTATGGGCTTCTTTGCTCCGAGTATTGTAATCGTGATGACGCACCCACACCCAAATTCACTAACCAAAACATGTAAAATAATTGAAGCAGCCCAGCTTGTCGGACCTCTTCAACCTTTTCGAACCCTACAAAACCACAAGATACGACCAAAATGGATTACTTAGTAGGTATTGTCGTACAACAGCTGAGAAACCATTTTCATGATTCCCACTTGTCGTAACCGTCTTTCGGTTGGGCCCGGGATCGGGCTTCGACTTGGATTAAACGAATTGGAGTCGCCACCGATCATTTATTTTAAAACAAATGGGTTGATCAGATACCCTATTTCTTACCTGATCTGCTTTGTACCAGAAACGTGTCGAGTTCGGGAGTCGGTTACGGTCAAGGAAGGATTAGCACCCTTGAACCGCCCTTTCGGTACCAATTAATTTGTCGGTTGTCTTTATTTGCGAAAATTAAAAATACCCAATTCGAATTACTTACCCTTTGATCGTTTGAAATTACCACTGAAAATGCCGAAAAATGTTAGATGGTAAAATAAAAATAAATGCGAAGAAAAAAAGAAAAAAATATATACAATAATATAATAATAAAAAATGACAAGATAAACAAAAGTTGGTAAAAAGGAAAAGAATAAAATAATAAAAAAAAAAAAAAATTAGTTTAAAAGAATTAAAAAAATAACATAATATATATATAATAAAAAAATAAACAGAAATAATAAAATAAAAATAATCAGTAAAGAATAAAATTAAAAGAATAATAAAAAGATCTAAATGAAATATATAACACAAAAATAATATTAATAAAAAAAATGAATTAAATAATATTAAATAAGAACAAAGCAAAACATACATAAATGATTGAATTGAAATAATAACAAAACAAATGATGAAATTGAGAAGAAATCGAAGTAAAAGACCGATTAAGGGGTTTAAATGAAATATTTCAAAATCAGCGGACCAAAACATAATTCGCCCTTAATACTTGAAGGGCTATAGGAGAGTTTACCCCAAAAATTCACCTTCAGTCATTCACGTGGGTCTGTTCCATTCTAACAAAGAAAGCCAAAATGATGACTTTTCTTTTCATTTTCCTCAAGCAAACGTGGGTCCCTCCTCTTTCAATTTCTAACCTCTTCATCAGCTCAGTGTCTCGACTTTTCAGGGCTAAAGCTTGTCTCCATGGCTCGTAGGGCAACTCCACCGTGTGTTGGAAACTGGTCACTTCAAGCTCGACATTTATGGAAGAAGCGAAGGTAGCTATTCACGCGGTGGAACTAGCGATGGATCTTGGGCTCCAAAAGTATCATAGTGGAAGGGGATTCTTCAATTTCGTTCCATAATCGGCGAACAGGGTGGCTCACATCTTGGCCATTGATGTAGAACCTTGGGACGAAGATGGTAGAGGAAGGACCTCACTTGTTTGCTACCACCCCTTTTTCAGATTCGAAGGTGAGTTCCCTCCGATGGGTTCCCAAAAATCCCCTCGAATACTCTGTATTTTCTCTATTTTTCGAATGAATTTTTTGTGTAATTTGCTTCCAATCTCCCCCCTTTCCTCCTTATTTTTGCCTCAATTTATAGCCATGAAACTGGCTATTTTTAGATAGATTTGTAGAGTCCTATTCAAACTGAAACGCTCCTTTATTCAGTTTTAGAGTCCCACTTGGACTCAAATGCCTTGATTTAGTATTTTGACTTGGTTGTTATTCTTGTTACCGAGAAATACGAGGATAGTATTATTGGGCAAAAAATTAGTGTCTACAGCTGCCCCTCTTTGTCCTTTTTCGTGGAACGAAAAATAGGACAAAGATAAAAAGACACAAATTTTGTCCATATCGAACGTCTTCTGCCGTAGAGTTGAAATCCGATGCAATGACTGATCTGTTAATTTAAATTGAATCACAAAATGACTCCCTCGTCGTGAGGTCGAGTTGAACTGGAAACTTCTGAGTACGATATCCTTCGTTGTGAAGTTGAAATCAAACTCAAAGCTTTTGGCAAGTGACTCCTGGATCGT